TCGTGAAAGCTCAATCCATTAATTCCTCCACCAACGTTTGACTTAAGTTTCAGAAACTTTCTGAATAGAGCGGGGATATGTGAACTATCTTGCAACTATTGTGTTAACATTCTGTTCCCTCCCCAGTAGAGCGAACTACGTTCTTTCGAAAGATTATTGTAATAGATAGCATCGAGTGACCAATTAATAAGAATCGAGTGTAAAGATTTGACAGATGCATTTTTCGACATCTTTGAAGTCTGGCAAAAGTATCGAAACGTATTTTACTATATCTGGGACCTCGTTGCGTGTTCTACGGAAAATTTAACGTTGGAGCGCGCAATGATGCATACACTAGAGCGTCGATTATCCGAACGACTAATTATCGGAACAGAAAACGAGACACATGTCAATAGCATCGCGAACCCTACGCTAATTTACACTTCGCAACCTGTATTCATCGTGTGTAAATAATTTTACGAACCTCTATGCTTCGAGGAACCCAATTTAGTGTTTCGCGAGTATTAAACGTGAACATATAATTAAAATTACGCGTTGCATTCATCCTACGAGTAAGCAATAACAGAGCAGTAGTATTGAAATTGAAAGAAAAATTAAATATTATTAAATCCTTAAAGAGAGAAGGAAGTGTATAGTTCAGCCATGAAATCCACGATGACCAGAATTAAAAATAATAAAAATCCGTTGTAACTATGACCAATAGAAACGTGATATTTTTCTCGCTGTATTTAGAAAAAGGGACTGTTTATCGAAATTTATTATTCGATTTCATGGCGATATACGGAAGAGATGGAAGACTCGCGGAAATGGTTCATAAATCTCGAACAAATGTCAAGGAAAATTTCGATGTCAGCAACTGCTCAACCACCGTACGCGATACGAGTCGTGCCAGAGACGAAACTTGTACTTCTCGGAAGTTTTCAATCCTACAAACACGCTTCACCTGCAAGTAAATCAGAATGGGATCAAAGGATCGTAGGATCCCGACATATGGATAGACCAGCCTCGTGTTCGTTCCCACCTTCTCGTGCCTTCCCTCCTACCACCTTTGTGTACCTTTCATGCACGACGTTGGTGAAAAACAAATCTCCCGGGGTTTCGCTCATTCTCGACGCGATACCTGAAAAACACCGTACTCCGAAATAATACATACGCACGTACATTTGCATGCCTCCTACGCCGCGTAAATAGAAAGTAAAAATGCATCGAGAAGTTTCAGGGAAAAAATACTGTCGCGAAAATATGAAATCTAACGTTCGTCCCTCGGTGACCGAAAAAGAAAGATATCGAACGTTAAAAAAATGATGAAACTCTAAAAATCTGTATGGATCACCTTTAGATCGACTGTAAGATCGAGATAAGACAGATAATACCATTCCATCAATTTTTCCCAACACTAGTAAGTAGAAACAACGAATAATGGCCAGACACGTTAACATCCTACTTAATAACACGCGTAAAAATTTTCAAAATTATTTTTCTCAATCTCAAATGTGTTGACGTTGAAGAAATAAATAAAATAGACGCGATCAATTTTCTTCGTATATTGCTTCGTTTTCAAGATAATTGAATTTTAAAGTGTTTGTTGTCTGTCGCGTCTGACCATCGCTTGACCATTTCTACTTGCTGATGCCTAAATCGTACTCTTCTGAATTAACTGATGTTTATACATAAAAATCAGGCACACAAGGATATCAGAAATGGAATTATGTATAAGATTCAGGACTAACTAACATTTTGATTAATACGATGAATTGGTGGCCTGATTCCTTCCTCTCGATAATCAATTTTTCCAATAATAAATCTTTTTTATAGTTGACATTTCTGTTAATCAATGATCAATATTGAACAGTATTAATATTAGGTCTTAAATAAGAACTCGTTATCTAGAAATGAAGACAAGAATGAAAATGAATCAAGTGTTCCATTCCTAATTTGATTTTTGCAGTCACAAAATGAACAAGAAAATTTATGTATACCGTGGCATAGATTCCTGTAATAGACTGAAGACTGTCTGACTGTCTGGATATTTTATTATTATTAGCCTAGAAGAGTTCGATGGCGCCTAAATTTAATCTTCATTGCATTAAAGGTGACCTATTTTTATCTATAACTGCATGTATATTCTGGAAAGTATTGCAAAATCCAAAATATTGCTTCTGTAGGATTGGAAAGGTTGAAGCCACATAGTTTATTGTTATAGTGCCACATGTTAATATATTGTGGTTACAGTAATTTCTCAATATACACTGTGTAAGTACTCGAGTCCACTCCTATGGTTATATAGAGGAAGAGTAGCGATTTTTTTCCCCCCAAGAGTCGATTTATTTTATCTCGATCTGAGGCTCAGCCTAGCATGTACCGCCCCACGAGAAAATTGAACGGGATATATCGAGAGTAAGCGAAATAGAGCACCAGTGAGCGAGTGTCACATTACATGCTCGAGCAATTCGCAACTAGGGCTGGGACTATTCCGAAATTTGACAAATATTCGAACGCTACGAAAATTTGAATATTACTACCTAAATATCAATATCCAAATATTGTCATTCAAATATTACTTATTATTAAAACATACATTATTAAATTAAAACATACATTTACACCCACTATAAAAGAATTTTCTTTTAAAAAGACGTTCAAAGATGAATTTTTTTTTTCCTTAATGGAATTCGAAGTATACGAAACATTTGAATAATGTACTACGAAAGTGCATGATAATGTAACAGGATTTCATAAATTATTTAAAGGCGTTCGCTTAACGACCACACCCGAGTTAACTCGACAACATATTTTTTTTCAGTTTAGTAATCTTGACTCTAAGAATAATGAATGTAAAAGGAAGATCGATGGAACTGGGATTCCATCTATCTTTTTACGAATCTCCGCTCACAGCAATCTTTACGTGGTGAGACCTAGTACTCAGTATTATCGCGACGAAGGATTTTTCATAGTAACGCCAAGTTAATCGACCGCAAACTTCGAACATTGTTATTTTATGAAATATAATAATATACGAACCTTGAATACTTTAACAAAATTAAATGTCTGAATGTTTCAATATTGAACAATTTTAATCAAGGAATAATCGAACTTGTTATTTGTTATGTGTTCGAACTTGCGACTTAAGTGATTGCTTCAAAACTATAGAGAATTTTCGATATTTAAAAAGGCATTAACATTACTGGTGAAATGTTTCATTTCATAGAGCTCATTAATGTATATTTTATGCGTTTACACATATTTTATGAAACATTGAAGATACACTGAAATCGTGGTTTACTAACAACGCAATTCAATTAGGCTACCGATTAATTAATGTGAGAAACGTCATACATTCGTGCAGATCAAGACGAATGAGAGGAGAATCTTTAAGCCTCTTATGCAAGTAAATTAATCTTTCTATAAAGAAATAGCACCGATTTCTCACAGTTAAATTTATTCTAGATTTTATTATCGAATACCATTTAATTTGTTTTAATTTGCAAATTTCATGCAATTCGTTACAAGCTACTTTTTCCAGAACTATTAGGAATAACAGGAAAATCCTCTTTCAGGATTCTAAAATTCACAGAAGCATTTTATATGCCCAGAGAGTCTATTTAATAATAGTTAATGATCGGCAATATAATCATTTTCGGAAAAAGAATCGAAACTGTGCCAATTAAACAGATTATTTTATCAATTATCGTTTGACATCATTATCAGTTTAAAAATTATTTAGGTGTCCAGGTACATGCATGAATCTATTAATTTCTTTAGTAATACTGTTTGGAATATAACACAAAATATAATACTTTGAATTTTGAATGCTTGAACGGATCAAAAAGGATTTATAAGTTATAAAACAATGCACACACACTCACAGAGAGTGACCCATTTAAATCTAAATCTCGAATATCTTTGAAACTGTTTCAAAGTCATTCGAGTGGATTGATTTAAATGGGACATCCTATATACAAAGTATATCTATTCGCAAAATGCTACGTTTTCGAAATAATTGAATTTGATCATTAATCGCTGTCTCTACGTATACTGATATCCAAGCTATATTCTATTGCACGCGTACTCGGTGAATGTTCAGAGTCGAAAAAAAATATGATAAAAAAATACGTATCACGGCAAAATATGCCCTTAATAAATAATTTAGGGCAATACGACGCAGTGGGGAGAAAGGTGCTTAATTGAAACGTAAAGCCGTATGAAAATTACGATTATTTAACGAGAAATTATTAAAATTTCATTCCATTATGAAAAAACGGATATTCCCGGAAGCCATTGTCTAAGTCGGATTTGAAAGACGGAACTGGATAAAGAGACATTAAGGTACGAACCTTTGACGCAGAGACTGGCGGATTCGAATATTACTCACACTCAATTTAACTTATTGAAACTGACGAGAAGCTGTTTGATGGCCCAGACTACAATAGCGTAACAATTAATCGCTGGATGGATCATCTCTGTGCCCTATAATTATCTATCATTTATCAAAACCAATCCATGACGTTTCTATAAAACACATGCACCCGCTATTACTACCCATACTTTAATAATTATAATAATAATTCATTCCATTATATTTACCTTTCCTTTTGTTAAGATAATTAGTAAAATTTCATCTTAATTATTCGCTGGAAAATAATATTCACATCACGGTAAGTTTCATTGCGAATAATATTAAACGTAAAATGAAAAGAGGAACATCTAAGAACATTAAATTTCATTTATTTGTACGCGCTTGTATTATTATTTTTATAAAGAACTTTACATAACTATTAATACATAAAAATTAAAAACGTAATGCAGCGGTCATTTTTTTTATCATAAATATTAGCTATACATCGTTTTCAACGTAGAGATAAAGGGACAATAAAGTAACACATTCTTATTTTAAATTTTGTTTGATGCTTAGTAGAATGTTAAATTAATTTGAAAGTCACCACAAATACGAAAATTATATAGAATTACAATTTAAAAATTTATATTACGATTTATGCCCAAGGAAGTTCGTAAGTGTAATATTTGCAACAAATTTTCTTAGTTTCCATAAGAATAATTTATTGCATAAGTAATTGATGTTAAATGCATAAAGAAATTTTTAAGATTAAGAAAATATATTTGTAATATATTGTTTGGCGTATGTGTTGCGATTCCTCTAGATCATTTAAAGCATACAGAAGACTATTTAGTAATTTGTTCTGAAATTAATCGCTAACTCTCATAGGTCTCTTACATTTATTATTAATACACAATGAACCCTATAAATTATCGAAAATCGGGAAATAAAAAGAAACGCGACTTAAAAGATTTAAATTATAATTAGAGTTATATTACTGACTGGCTGTATCGTGAATAACTGCACAGGGTATCTTACCTACCTGACGTTACCCCCGTGAATATTTCATACTTTACTCAAGAGAAACTGTAAGAGATAAAATTTAGTATTTGGTACAAGTACTGCTCTACAATTTATAATAAAAATAATAGTGCATAAAAAAAAAAAATGTAAGCCACTTTGCACCTTCGCTAAAAAAAAACAAACAGTAAAAAAACACTCAATACCACACCAATTGTTCGAAATGATCCAATTACGAACTGGAAAAAAGTGTTCTGAATAAAAAAAAAAAAAATATACAAAATGGTAACGTTAGGCGAGAATCCTGCGGACATAACTTAAGTTTCTTGCTTTTGCATCAATTACGTTTGAACTCAATCGCATATTTTATTCGGATAAAGAATAGTATAGTTACTGCATAAAAATTACAAGAACATAGTCAGTTACAAAATTACTGTGTAATTCTGTAATTAAGTTGGGCTTGTGTCCTTTTAAACGTGACACTCGCATACTGTATAAGGCAAAATTCATCCATTCTTTCGTGTACAGAAGTGACCACTTAAGTGTCCGCGGTTGTATCCACCAATTCGAGCGTAACTTGACGCCACTCGTCCTCTTTCCTTATCTCCGTTGAATTCTGAGAAGCAACCATGCCCACATAAATGACCGCGGACGGTCCCGAGCGTGGTCACTTAAGTGGGCACTACTGTACATCGTAACGCACACATTATCGTTAGGTCTATTAAGAAATGATTCCCTGATCAGCACACTACAATATATAACAATAATGGTACAAAACTTCACGTATTTTGTACTAAGCTTAACCAACTTCGACCTTCTCCACCGACCGACGTTGGAAACCGAATCTGTACTAATCGAACTGAATTCTTCTCGTCACCCATTTCTTTGTATTCTGAGGTAGCTGGTACAACTATCGTTTCCCTATCATCGCTCTCGTTATAATTATATATTTCCTCCGCGTGCTCTGCATCCTCAGATTTGCACTCCATTGTTTCATTTTCCGTGAAAGCCATCTAAATATTGCGAATTTTTGACATGGAAAGATATTACATTAGCATGATCAATAACACATACATACCTCTTCATCGACAAGATGGCCCACTTCTTCGTCCGCGACGTTTTCCTCCGCAGAAATATTTAATACGTCTTCTTCGTTATACATTTGATCTTCGTTCTGTTGTTGTATAATAACGTGGTCTTTCAATTCGGTCACATATAGCTCTGTTTCCTCTAACTAAAATACAATGTAAATTTAAAGAAAATTATTTATATCGTTACATCATGCGTTTGCTTATTATTGTTGACAAAAAAAAACTGCATTTAATTACCTGATCGTTTTCAGTTTCGTCCATTAAAAGTTCCACACTGTCATTCGGAATTGTTATAATTTGATCGTCTTCGGTAGTGAGTCGCGGTTGATTAACTACGATGGTATCGTTCAGGTGACCCTAAAAAGCATAATGCACGTCAGTGTTAATGTCACCGTGCAAATACATTACTTTATTATCTCGCGATAATGCATCAATTCACCTGAGTTTGCATGTGATTGTACAACAAAGGTTTTCTCATGAAACCCATACCACACACCAAGCATTCGTACGGCTTCTTGTCACTGTGTACAAATCGATGCGCATTTCTATTGTCCCTGCTATTAAATGCTTTCCCACACACCTAAAATTTCACGATGCCATTCCATTCCAAAGGAATCATTACGACGATTTAAAATAATGAATTAATCTACGCTGTACGCACCTCGCATAGGTATGGTTTTTCTCCCGTATGTATACGCATGTGCTTTTTATAATGTTCGGGGTAAACAAACGTTGCTGTACAGATTTCGCATTTGTATGGTCTTTCGCCAGTATGCGCCGCCTTTATATGGTAATCTAACAATCTGCGCCGTTTAAATCCTTTTCCGCAGTCGTCGCACTTGTATCGTTTGTCATTATAATGCGTCGCGCGTTTATGAGATTGTAAGTTTGATCTTTGACTAAGAATTTATAATAAAATAGTAAGGTAAAATCATCCACCATCAACCGGAAGCAAGGGATCGATCAATTCGCGTATTGAGGGAGGTAAGAGCGGAGAAAGAAGCAGACTCCAAAACTGCGCGACGTTACATTTCAATTCTCCTCCTTTATAATCAATAATTGCAAAAATAAACATACCTGAATGTAGCACCACAGAATTCACATTGATATGGTTTCTCTCCTGTGTGCGTTCTCTCATGGTCTCTTATTTCAGCTTTACGAGCAAACGCTTTGCCACACATTCTGCATATATATGGTTTATATCCTGTATGCACTATATTATGAACTTCCAAATTATGTGGCGAGCCGAACGCTTTTCCTATAAATATAACGATTAGCTTAAGTAACAAGAAACATCTAAATAGTGGAAAAAATAGAAAAATTGAATAATCAAACGTACCACACTGGTGACAAATATACTCTTTTACGCCATTATGCGTTCTTTCGTGCTGATTAAGATTCTGTTGGCTCAGAAAAGTTTTATTGCATTGCGAGCATTCGTAAGGGCGAGGTCGTATTTCATGTGTTTTTACGTGTGCTTTGTATGTATATTTTGAAGCGAAATCTTTGCCGCAATTTTCACATACGTACGGGCGTACTCCCGTATGCGTATTTATATGCTCCTCTAATAAATTCCTGGAGCTACAAAAATAATACAAGTCATAATGTAATAATGTACTATTATTTTACTTAAATACAATTTAAATAATATGCTTTGTATATACCTATATCTTTTGCCACACGTATCGCACGGCCAGGATTTTACTTGTGGATAATGTATTCGTTTATGAATTCTAAACAACCGTAGATTACTGAATATTCTATTACATATTTCACACTGAAAATCACCCTCCTCCTTAGCAACGTGATCATCAAGGTGAACAGAGAGCTCATTCCTCTTTTTAAAATCATCCCCACATATATCACAAATGTACAACCGAGTTTCATGTACATTTTTCATGTGTGCAATAATTGATTTTGCATCTCCAACAGCTTTATCTTCATTTATACATGCTAAACATGTATATGTAGAACCGTCTCTAGTTACGAGCTGAGAGAAAATAAATAATTAAAAATAAATAGTGAAGTAAAGTAAGTGCATATGCAGTAGTGCCCGCTTAACCTCATAGACACGGTTGAATTTTGCGCGGGGCTGTTTCTCTGTACGACGGAGGTCAATAAGAATTACGCGTAAACATTGAAATGAAGTTGTGAAACAAAACATATGAAAGTGATCATTTAATTCAAACGGTGAGCTAGTGAGCCACTATAGTGGCGCGTCGTTCAAAAAGGTGATATCCACGAAAGCCAGTATAGTGGCGCATTGTGCCTAAGAGGTTAAGTGACCACGAAAATAAGGAAAGTGGGCGAAACTGCAGTAATTTAAGTGGGCACTACTGTAATTAAAAGTTTCTTACTTGTCCTATAACAGTTTCAATTTTTGCTGCAACTTTTGATCGTTTTATCCTCTTTCTTTCTTCAGCATTACTTGTTTCAGGTATATCTTCAACTTTAAGAATAACTGTTTCATTCTCGCAAGATGGTTCTTCTTCCTCCTCTAATCGTTCCTCAATGCCCTCTATCTCTTGACTGTCTTGCTCATCCTTCAAACAAAATGATATAGCGTACACTCAAAATATTATTTTGTTAATAAAACCCTTCAAACTTACTCTGTTTATCATAATCTGTGAATATTTCACTTCCATATCTGTTCCTTGACTTTCTGTACTTTCCATATAATCGTGATCATTATATTCTTCTTCATTTTGTAGATCGGATATTTTTGTTACAGTCTTCTTATAATTATTAAATAGTTCTAATTTTACCTCTGTCAATCTACTTTCAAGATCATCAATCTGCAAATATCATTTATCTTTTAACTTCCTTCATGTAACTATAAGAGACATAAAAATTATTCCTTCTTTACCTCGTTAAATAGTTTATAGCATTTTTTACATATAACAAGAGAATGTACGTTTTCTTCATTTAGATCTGTCTCTAAGACAATACAAATGATATCTATAAGTGGTTTCTCTGATGATGTAACAGAGTTTTCATTAAAAATACGTATACTATTCCTAGTAGACACACCAACTTTACTATTACATATTAAACAGTGAGTACTGTCTTTCTCTAAATCAGCCGTCATCTTTTTGGCAACTGTAAAAATAATGAGTGTATTAAGTCACAAGCTTGCAATCTTATCATTTTACAATAAATTTTATCATTGAAAAAAATGTACACACTAATGTATTTACAACGTAAAATATAAACTTTGATTATGTGCTAAACCTGCAATTTCCTTTGATCCAAAGCATAGACATAATAAGGTAATACAAAGAGAAAAGCATAATATTTGAATGTTAAAGTGTAATGTTTGTTAAGGGATTAAAAGAAAAGTTTGGAACAGAGCATGCATTAAAAATGCCTTTAGCCTATAAAGAAAGGAGCAATTGCAATACTTGGAATTTCGCGGAATAATTTTTAATTTTCATGATAGAATTCTACGAACAGGACCGATGTCTGTGAAAATCATATTTTCATCATAGTTTCTTCTTATGTAATAGCACACGCCGTGTGCCTTGAACAAAAAATCATCCATTGATATCATGTATCGTCAAACACCAATGGATCCGACAATTCACTCTATGAAGCAAAGGAACGATAAATAACGTGATGGTACGTCCGACGGGCAGCGTTCGTCTTAGCATGCATCGAAGCATACCGTTCTTCGGCATCATCGATAAGTAACCGCTAAAATCCAATAACCCTAACAATAACGTAAACGAGGAACAGTAAACAAAATATTTGCCTGCGTTCCTCATCAAAATGAAGCATTATAATAAACGTAAAAAGTTGCCAGCACTGACTTGAAATTTTCGTTTCTCTGTTCGAACGATTGGCAGCGAGCGAAACGGCAGACGAGTCTTGATGCCAACGCCATTTAGGCCTTCATGCCAGGTAGGGATGTTGGCCGCTACGAAAGCACTACGAAAATTGCACTTTGAAACCGTTGTCACTTTTTGGAACGCAAATGGAAATTTGCTGTAACCGTTGCCTAAGGTAGTGGCGGCACACGATTGCATATGCATGCACCGGGTGCCCTCTATCGGATATTTTTTACATGGCCATATTTTATAGAAAGTTTAATTTTGCCAAACCATGTGAAATTTTTAAAAATGCTCACGATAATGACTAACATAAACACCTTCTAATTGTATTTAAATCATATAGACACGTATAAATTACTTTCGTCGGTTATTTAAGTAACGAAAGGTATTATTTCATCGTCGGAAACAAATAATAATAATGCGTTTTGCAACATATTCTTAGCGAATCTAAAAATTATAACGATCTATACATTATGTACATAGGAAATACAATTATTCGTTTCCTTAGACGATGTTAATTAATAGTCTCAGGGTGTTTGATGCTATTTGCACGATACTGACAGTAAAAAGAGAGGAGACGACTTTTGGCGGCGTTTCGTTTTCTCTTGCTGTTTGGCAGCGTTCTCATGATCCAATCAGAATATTTTATTTATACTTGCGTTTTTCTCTGTGGATGGACTTTAGACAATTAACGTAGTTTATGAAGTAGCTTATTTAATTAATCGCCGCCAATTTTTAAACCATAGTATACCAATCTACGTCAAACATATTTATAAATGAAAATCGGTACAGGATGAGTCCGCCACGTGCGTCGATGCATAAGTCTTCGTTACTCGTTGCTCATCGAGAAGACGATCGATGAAAAGCAGGCAGCAACGTGCGCGTGATCTCTTGCATTTATTTTTACCGAATGATTTACATAGTTACCTAACCTTTCAATACTATGTTTCTTTGAGACTTTCATTGTTAATTTCATATTCATGGTTGCGACATTTATGTCATTAAACTGCCGGTTGACAGTGGATAAACAAAAGTGGTTGATTACTGGCAAACGTTCGATCAACTCTTTATGAAATGAACAAAAATGAATCGACGAGCAGATATGGACCCCTCGTCGGTGCAATCGATGAAGGGACGAGTAGTGCTAGATTTTTGGTATTAAGATTTTATTAATTATTATTAATATCAAGGCTTCTTTATTATCTTTAGTTTTATTAAAAGTTCTAAAAAAAAGAGAGTAAATGTACCTTCGAGGAAAATACTTAAACGCACTAACGCAAATGCACGATAGTCGCTGGCGGAAAAAATGCAATATTTGAAAATACTATTAATATTTTTTTTATAAAAATAGAATACAGTAATGTAATGTGTACCTTTTCTCAAGTATATTATACTTATTCTCTTTTCCATGCTATATTTAGTTCTTAAATTTAAAATGACATTGAGTTTGTCTCTTTGTTAGGTGTTTGCTGCAAACACAGCAGAAGTATTGACATATCATCAGATTTCAATATCACAAACATGTCCAAAAGAGGGATGGGTTGAACAAGATCCTATGGAAATATTGAAAGCGGTTAGGGAATGCCTTAATCAAACTATATTTAATTTAAGACAACTTACCATAAATCCTAGTGATATAGTTGCCATTGGTATAACAAACCAAAGAGAAACCACAGTTGTATGGGATTCTGTTACAGGAGAACCATTATACAATGCTATAGGTAATACTTATAATTAAATTATTTTTTAATATTAATAGTAGCAAGTAAAGAAATTTAAATCTATTATTTTGTAGTATGGATGGATATGAGAACCACTTCAATTGTAGATGATATATTGAAAAAGATACGTAATAAAAATAAAAATTATTTTAAGCCACTCTGTGGTTTACCGATTAGTCCATACTTCAGTGCTTTAAAATTAAAGTGGTTATTAGAGAATGTGCCACGAGTCCAGGAAGCACTAGATCAAGATAGATGCATGTTTGGCACAATTGATTCTTGGTTAATTTGGGTGAGTTAAACAAATAGTTATTGATGCATATATTTTTATATGATAAATAGTTGAAAGGACCTTTGTTATAGAATCTAACTGGAGGAAAGGATGTTGGTATCCATGCTACTGATGTTACAAATGCATCAAGAACAATGCTGATGAATATCACAACTTTAAATTGGGATCCTACTTTGTTATCATTTTTCAACATACCATCAAAAATTTTACCAGAAATTCGGAGCTCATCGGAAATATATGGTTATATTCGCGATGATATTTTAAATGAGGTTCCAATATCAGGGGTATGTATCTCTCATGCAAAAATGTGGTCACTTAAGCGGGCACTACTGTATTTTTATTTATTTCTGCATGAAAAAGTTTTTCATTTTCGATTGTATTTCGGTTACTGAGGCGCTCCACTAAATATATTTACAATATTCGTGTAGTGCTTAGGCGATCAACAATCAGCACTGGTGGGCCAAATGTGTTTACAAAGAGGTCAAGCAAAAAGTACTTATGGCACTGGTTGTTTTCTTTTATATAATACAGGAACTGCTGTAAGATTAATTTTAAATCTTTGAAAAATATTTTCTAAAAAATAAAGTACTTATAAATAATTCTGAAGATTGTAGACTCATCCCATGGTCTATTAACAACAGTTGCCTATCAATTAGGACCACAAGCACCACCTGTATACGCGCTTGAAGGTTCTGTAGCTATAGCTGGGGCGGTTATTCAATGGTTGAAAGATAATCTTGGAATAATATCAGATGCAAAAGAATGTGAAACTCTTATTGAACAGATTTCTGCCGATAATCGTGTTACATTTGTACCTGCATTTGCTGGTTTATATGCTCCATATTGGAGAAAAGATGCAAGGAGGTAAATAGAATAATAATACAGCAATGTCCTTTTTCTCTTCACTCGCTCAGGACTGAGGACTGAAACAGTGTTGGGAAGAAGAACATTACCGTATAACGTAATTATATTATTGTATAGTAATATAAGAAATGAACAATGTTACTGTCACATATCTGTTGCAAAGTGCATCGTTTCAGTGTTGTATGTGGAATTACCGAAGATACCAACAGTATACATATTATAAAGGCAGCATTGCAAGCTGTTTGTTTTCAGACAAAAGATATTTTACAAGCCATGAAAAAGGACACTGGATTAACGTTGTCTAAATTGTTGGTAGATGGCGGCATGACTAACAATAATTTGTTAATGCAAATGCAAGCTGACATTTGTGGTATTCCAGTTGGTAAGTGAAGCACCATGCATAAGATATATAATAAATGTTTGTGTTTTATGTGTAAAAAGACTAAATAAATAAAATAAATATTTGATTAAATGGACAATTTTACAAGAAAGTCAGGCCTTTGATGTGTGAGACTACTGCACTTGGTGTTGCAATAGCTGCAGGAAGTGCAGATGGTATACGTAAATGGGATGTGAAAATAGATGCTGCTGTACCAAGTGATACATTTTTGCCTTCGATAACAGAAAATGGTAAGTTCATTAAGTTCTTTGCATTTATTTCATTTACAAAAAACATAATGATATTTAATATAGAACGCGATATATTGTACACGCAATGGAAAATGGCCATTGATCGAAGCTTAGGATGGGAGCCAATAACAGATACCAATGGTAAATATAATTATCCAATAATAATTGTAAAGCAAAAATAGGAAAACTTACGTTGTTTATATAACTGATTTGTAGAACTACGTAATTTCTTTGCAGATGATGTACAGAATATCCATAAAGCAACTGCTCCCGGTATATTTGTGATAAGTACAATTGTTCTGCTTATGATTGCTAAATATCATTCTATGTTGTGACTCGACAAGTGCAGTACCATGTACTGTCCTTATCTCAAGTAATGCATTTAGGCAGGTCCTGCTTGCTGTCAAACGTTTTAACAAATTATTGCGTAATGCAACATACTGGTCATTATACTTTGTAATAGTTATTTATAAGTACGAAAACCGAACTAAGGAACGAATACAAATAAAAGTGCCATTATGTTGTGATAATTTTAATATCAAATGAAAGGCGGAAAATCAGAGGGATGGTGTTTGGGGTAATTTAAAAGTATAATTTATTTCAACTACGTGCAGTTTGATTTATATTATTTAAATCAGATGATTGAGTTTCAATTACTTGAGCTTCAGTTCCAGCTACTTGCTTGTTTCCTTCTTTATTGTTTTCATTTATCGTTATTTCGTTTATTTTCGGCACTGTATGTGAAACATTCTAAAAGAACACATCAAACATAACTAGTAAATATTCACAATTTCTAAAGTAAAAAATAAAAAAACATAGAAAATGTTACCATTAATGTATCACTAGTAGAAGTTTGAGCTGTAACTAGAGATGCAACCAGCCAAGCATTATTTCTTATGTTATCAATGTGTAATCGCGTTTGTTGTGGTACAAGTATTCGTGATATAAGCATACGACAAGCGTCGGACACTATTGGTTCTTTCGGAAACGTAACTTTACTTTGTACTTGCTATAATACAAAAAGAAAAAAATAAGTTTGTATACTGATACTTCATACTCGAGTAACAGTATTGTTATATGGAAGAAAATTTTTGATCGCGTCATTTTATATTATTTTTTTCTTTTTAATGTACCTGGGTACCTTTAGAAGTTGATTGTAATTTGTGTCATCAAATGGTAGCCGACCATAAACCATCGCGTAGAGTACCACACCCATGGACCATACATCAGATAATTGAGGTAGGTAAGGGATACCCTTTAATATTTCAGGTGATGCATAAGCATAACTCCCACAGAATGTTTCGCTCAGTGGAGCTATACCATTCTTCGATGTCATCTGCCCACGCGCAAATCCGAAATCAGATAATTTTATATTGAAATTACGATCCATCAAAAGATTTTCACATTTCACGTCCCTAAATCGAATTGCCTGGTTACTTTCAATTACTCCCGTTCGGTGTTAGTATAGTCACTATTTTGTACCTGTGAACTATACCACGTCTGTGACAATAATCGATCCCTTCCAATAATTGCCGAAACCATCTGCGACTACGCAGCTCATCGATGTACGTATCGCGTCTGATTATATCCAACAAGCTACCATTTTGAGCATACTCCATAATAATGTACACCCTAAATATCAATTGGACTCAGTGATGCCAGAAAAGCACCGCCGGGTGCACACGCATACATGCCAGATACGCGTACGTGAGCTCGTGGAGTTTCGGAAAGTCGACAAAGGCAAACTGACGCATGCCCTCTTTCTCGATTCTCCGAAGCTGCCCGAAGTAATATCGGATCGCCTCGTGGGAGTCGAGAGAGCAAAGGCTCACATTTGCCTTCTCGCTCTAAACAACTGAAATCCGACCTCCCGTCAACGGCATACGATTTGGATTCTCGAGCCGAGATTCTCGACTGCCCAGGCATTTTTACTTTCCGACCTATGTAGGCGCACATAAGCAAAGTACCCATAATGAAAAAAAAATTTTGTAAAATTTATTTTACGAAAATACACGTTTTAAGACCTCCTGATCATATTTTAATTATTGAAAAAAAAGAAATTTTTTATTATTCCCATGTATGAGCACACATATGTATATTATTAATACGATTGAATATAAATAGCTGAATGAATTTAAATGAAACTTTACATTTAAGTTTTATGTTCTCATTTCAAAGGCGTGTGGACGGATTCAAATACGTGAACACTAAACGTAACGATGTAATTATATTATTTAATATTTACTAACTATTTAACATAAAGAACATAAAAGAAAGACATAAAACGTAAACGTAAAAGATCATGAACGTAAAACTGTGATTGCTCTCGACTAACGTTCGATACAGAGTGACGTTCCTGCAGTCAAAGTCGACCCTTCCTTATTCCTATCTTATAATAATGATCTAAACAAAACGCACGTTCGAGACGCAGTCTCTAAAACGTATTTCAGCTTAAACCTAAACACCTCACTCGATACCTACTCTAACTTAGACTAAACACTCCTATCGACGCAAACGATAACGGTTCTCCTAGCCACACACATACACTCCTTACAGATTATACCTCTTGCTTCATAGTTGTTCCGATATATAGGCATAATGTATAAAAAATCTTTTAAATGTTTCATATAAATCTTAGGACGAATTAAATTTTATATAAAAAAAATTATATAAACTTTTTCTCTATCTTCTCTAGAAAAGAAAACATTAAATGAAATCTTATACATTACATGCTTACTTAAATCGCATTGAAAACGAATACCACAAATGTTTTAGAATAATATGCAAAATGTGATTGCGATTTTCGCTAAGACAAATTGAAAACTCGGTTCTAACAAGGAAAAGTTGGAATGGTACCCGATTTTGGGTTAGGTTTTACTTTGAGATATTATTAAAGTTATTACAGGTACTTATTTTCAGAAATAGAACTATGTTCACCACTAATCAGCGTGGCGTGAGTGATGAGGTCTTTGCCTGCAAGTTCCGAACTTCTTCTGCTCTGCTGGTTCGAACCCTGCTCGAACTTTTTTTTTTTATTTTTTCAATCATACTTTAAGCGTACACTAAATATGACATTATATTTTTGTCTGACCTTCGAATATTTTTTTTTAAAGTTAAATTTAACCGATTACATTTAACATATGTTATTTTCAATGTACGAAGTACATGAATCTGGATGGTACTTTTCACAAAAACAGTCAAAACATAAAAATTTCAAGCACCACGTACATTTACTGAAAATTTTGTTTTCACAGAAATTACAAAATTTTGTATTTAACTCTGATGGAAAGGCCGCTTCATTTACATTGATAAAATGTGAACGATTTTCGGATAGTCGTACCTTGTAGCTCGTACTTTTTACCTTATACTTCAGGTAAAAAGGGATATAGCTGGGAAAAACAGTTTTATGACATTACCTGCTAACTTATGTTACTGTTCTACAATGAAACGCTATGTTTTGTACCTTTAAAAATATTCGACTATGTCCTTTTAAAATTTAAGATACAACCCATACTTTGTATTAAACTGGCAAACGGGATCACTTTTCCTTTGTTTCTAGTTAGTTCTATTTAGTTCGTCATAACCAATTGATACGGTTATTTCAAAACAATCGAGGAAAATCATTATTAATTAATTTCTACAATTATTAATTCTACTGTTTTGTTTATGTTATAAAAGTAAGAACTCTTCTTATTGAAAAATACCACAGCGTGCACAATACTGGTAAAGAGTGGAATCTCATTTTAATTTATTAATTTTCAATCTTAAAGTATTTTGATTTTCAAAAATCGTATTAATAATATACATATGTGTGCTCATACACGGGAATAAAAAAAATTTCTTTTTTTTCAATAATTAAAATATGATCAGGAGGTCTTAAAACGTGTATTTCCGTAAAATAAATTTTACAAAATTTTTTTTTCATTATGGGTACTTTGCTTATGTGCGCCTACATAGGTCGGAAAGTAAAAATGCCTGGGCAGTCGAGAATCTCGGCTCGAGAATCCAAATCGTATGCCGTTGACGGGAGGTCGGATTTCAGTTGTTTAGAGCGAGAAGGCAAATGTGAGCCTTTCTCTCTCGACTCCCACGAGGCGATCCGAAATTACTTCGGGCAGCTTCGGAGAATCGAGAAAAAGGGCATGCGTCAGTTTGCCTTTGTCGACTTTCCGAAACTCCACGAGCTCACGTACGCGTATCTGGCATGTATGCGTGTGCACCCGGCGGTGCTTTTCTGGCATCTATGATTGGACTTGATCATTAAGATAGATCTCCGAAACTATCACACGTTCAAATACTTGTGCAAGATTAATGGACTAACCGATGAGTTGTTTCGATTGCTTGCAAAAAACGGATCAAATTCGGATGTTTTAAACCTTTAACAACTTCGATTTCCCGGGGTAGAAATTTTCTCAAGTGTTCGCCGGGTGCTTGAAACTTTGAAACGATTTTTATTGCCACTTGACAAGCATGTCGATCAGATTTTGCGACCTTTACATTTATATATTTTAATGACACTTTTTGTCATTTTTTATTCATCGATTCCTTTATCAATTTATTTACTACATAACGTACTTTCACGGTCGCGTATGAACCTGCACCTATCGTTTTCCCTATTGAGTAACCATGCGATTCAAGAACAGATAGTTTCTTTTCCGACTTCTCGTCATTTTTTTCTTCCAATGGTTTTAATGGAGATTTATTATTTGTTATTGGTGTGGTTGCCATTTTACGTATAGATAGTTGTTCTGGCTATGAAGGTCAAATTTAAATAATTATAGTTAAACTGTTTAACCATATTTTTTATATTTCTAATGCTCTCACTTTGACTTTGGTACTTTCAACGGCGTCATTTTACTTGTTAAGTTACATGTTTTAAAGAATTACTTAGGAGGATAATTGGTGTTATGATTTATTGTTTACGACATGATTTTTCAGTTTGATTGTGAATTGGAAATATAGCGCGAAGCTTCTCGCGAAGTATCAGAAAATCAACTGCAAACATTTGAAAGGCGATTTCCTATCGATGTTGTTACTTTATCACAAGTGTAAAGAGTAGTTTATACAGTTCTTCATTAATTTATGTATTTTCTATTTTATAATATCAATTCGAAATATCGATAAGGTAGGGTACAATGCAAAAACAAGTTATCTTCTATGTCTACCGAATTTGTAGTCTATGCTTTTAGCCGATTGTGTTTAAGCGTTTACTTTGTCGTAAACATAAGTTTTTTTTACTAAACGTTATTAATTTATGTTTGAATAATATACATAAAAAAAATTAGCTATGGCAGATGTTCTGGACATTGATAATGCGGAAGAATTTGAAGTAGATGACGAAGGCGACCGTGAGTTTCTATTATCTTTTTATTCGACATAACCTTCTCTGATGCATTCTTGTATTTAGAATATTTCGTACATTGGCGATAGTTTTTGATAAAATGCTTCTTTACTGTTTTCAGAGGGTATTGCTCGTTTGAAGGAAAAGGCGAAAAGGAGAAAAGGTAGAGGACATGGAGCAGAATTGGTTTCTACACGCGATGATGTTCGTCATTATGAGTCGATGAATATTGTGGAAGAGGACGACGATGAACCGGGTCCACAAAGATGTACGAGAGTCTCTTAATTATTCTGCTTTGTAATTTTACTTCTAAGATACTACTTTTGTGTCAGTAATTTCAAGACAAATCTCAATTTCGTGCAAACTGTTTGCATTTGCAGCTGTAGAAGGCTGGATTTTATTCATAAATTCAATCCATGAAGAAGCACAGGAAGATGACATTCAGGACAAATTTTCTGAATTTGGACAAATTAAAAATTTACACCTGAATTTAGACAGAAGGACAGGATTTCTAAAAGGATATGCTTTGGTAGAGTATGAGACATTTAAAGAGGCTCAAGCAGCTAAGGAAGCATTGAATGGAAAAGAAGTCTTAGGACAACCTATTTCAGTTGATTGGTGCTTTGTGAAAGGACCAAAGAAGTAAGAAACATCTTATTTATAAATGTAAATGAAATATTTGTGTCTATAAATTAATTTGTTCATTTACTTTTTTTAGAATAAAGAAGAGAAGTCACAGAAGACGATGAGAAAGGAAGCAATTATTATTAAACAAAATTTTTACATTCTACTGTGTACAATCTATTAAATTAAGGTGACTTTGTATTTAAGATATAAAAAATGAAATTAGTTACATAATCTGTAACAAAAATTACTTAACTATATTTTAGAAATTCTGTTTAATTAAAAACAATGTATTGGAATGAATCAATTTAGGTTTGTAAAAGTAAAACGTTAAATAAACCGGACATTTATTCATATTTTTTTAACATACATTTTTTATTAATTAAACTGTCAGTATTGAATGAAATATGTAGAATTGAAGGCAAATATATAAGGTAATAAAAAATATTCTCTGTTAAGTAAAAAATTGTTCTTCCATTTGCATTTTAAGATCTCTTTAGATTCACGAATTAAAGGCTGTAAAAATTTTTTTTGTCATGTGATTTAATATGCACATGTTGAATTAGTTATTACATACATGTATGTGGGCACTACTGTGCTCCCTATTAAAATTTTTTTTATAATTATATAATCTGTTTTTATTAAATCGAGAAAGTATCTTATTACATAAACCATCAAATGAAGCATATTAGGCATAATAATTGAGATTAGCTTTCTTCTTTGCTTGAACCTCATTAATAGCCTCCATTAAATCCTCGTGTGTAACTGCAGTCGCGTTACGCCTCAACGCTATCATACCCTACAAAAATAATAGAAATTCGATTATTAACATTGCAATAAAATTATGACATTTAATTGTAATTTTTTACATACCGCTTCTACGCACACAGCTTTACATTGTGCGCCGTTGAAATCATCGGTAGATCTTGACAATTCGTCAAAGTTAACGTCTGGAGACATGTTCATTTTTCGCGAGTGAATCTGCATTATACGCGCCCTGGCTTCTTCGTTAGGGTGCGGGAATTCGATTTTTCTATCCAAACGACCGGATCTCAATAATGCAGGATCTAGTATATCGACTCGGTTTGTGGCTGCTATTACTTTAATATCAGCAGTTGAACTGAATCCATCCAATTGATTCAATAGTTCCAACATAGTACGTTGTACTTCTCTGTCACCAGCTTTCTCAGAGTCGAATCTTTTTGTACCGATTGCATCCAATTCATCGATGAAAATAATTGCTGGTGCCTTTTCCCTTGCGAGTGAAAACGCATCTCTTACCAACTTTGCACCATCTCCGATAAACATTTGAACGAGTTGGGGACCTGCCAGCTTCAAGAAAGTGGATTTTGTCTGCGCAGCACAAGCTCTTGCCAGTAAAGTTTTACCAGTTCCAGGCGGCCCATACAAAAGTACACCTTTAGGAGGCTGAATACCAAGGTTTTCAAATTTCTCTTTATGCGTCATGGGTAAGACAACGGCTTCTATTAATTCTTGAATTTGTTTGTCCAAGCCACCAATGTCTGAATATTGCTCTGTAGGTCTTTCATCAACTTCCATAGCTTTGACTCTCGCGTCATATTCAGCAGGCAATGTTTCAAGAACAAGGTAGCTGTCTTTATTAACGCCTACCAAGTCACCTGGCTTTAATGCTTCTGCATCGACCAACCCAATTACAGGTAAAAAGTATGTTTGACGAGTGGATGTTTTAATAACCGCACATTTGCCTTTTCTTTGAGCATCCAAATCAACAACCGCGCCGTCCTCTTCTCCCATATCTTGGGGATCGACGTCTAATAACTCTATGACATTAGATACTAGATAAGGTAAAGTTTTATTTACTTTAATCTTTTCTGTATTCTCTTTGATCTTGTCGTTTTGTGCCTGAAGTTCATGGGAAATGCGCATTACCTCACTCTTCATAATTTTTATTTCATTGTCCAACAACCGTGTACGCGATACAATTTCATCAGTAGACATTCTTAATACATCCTCGCCCAATGAGTTCTACGTAAATATATTAAGGATTTTATGTGTTTATATAACATGAAATATTAATATTATTATATTAAAATGGTGGGTCGTAAAATATAATAAATTATTTTATTATACGCGTTCATTTATATGTGCTTGTCATTCCGTCCTAACCTACGCAAAGTAAATATGTATTTCGTACCTCTCCATCTTCCCAGATAGATTTATCCTCGAGTGTAGCCATCTATTATAACAAATTTATTATTTTTGAAATGTAAATCTATGAAATCTTTGTTACGTGTTTATAATTTTCTATAATTCTGTTCAAGAGAGTCAATCACCATACACTTCGTACGCAGATAAGTTCACACTTAGATCGTTTATATAGTGTGTGTATGTACCTATGTAGCGGCACGTAAGCAAAGTACCCATAATGGGAAATAAATTTTGTGAAACTTCTTTTACGGAAATAAACATTTTAAAACCTCCTGATTATATTTTAATTATTGTAAAAAAGAAACCTTTTTCAATTATTCCTATATACGAGCGTTCATACTGTATATTAATAATACGATTGAGTATAAATAGCTGACTGAATTTAAATGAAACTTTACATTTCAGTTTTATGTTCTCATTTCAAAGTCCTGTTAGACTTTGTTATTTAAAAGGCTTCATTAAAAACGTCATTAACGTTTAAAGTTCCGCCTGTAGAATACCAATCGCATAAGTTAAAGAAAGTGTGACCCATCGGTGGTGCATGATTTGCACAGCCATCTACGGCAAATGTCCAAGTTTCTCGTTGAATAGTTCGTTACTTTCGACGATAGATGGCGCGCATTTTTCGACCACAGGCCCCCTGGTGCTAAAACGCCCAAGTTTGTCGTGGAATAGTTCGTAAGCGCCATCTAGCGTCGACGAGATGAAGTATTCCTCGACAAACTTGGGCATTTTAGGTGTTGCAGTGTCAAAGGGGGAGAGTTGGCTGGGTTTTTTAATAGGAATAAATAAATCAAAATCGTGAATTTTCTTATGTCACGAAATAACGTATCGCGTGCATCGAAAAATAAAAGAGATGGGATCTCTTGAGAATAAAGGTACCTTTCAACGTGCACCGGATGATGTATTGCCCACTGTAACAAATTTAATAACGCAACAGATGTCCGATTTTTCTAGACAGAAGTGTTTCATCCACCATCACCGTTGAGCGATGTATTTTTAATTGGTTGACTGTACGTCTTCGTTTCGTTGGTTGAATGATCGCCAGGTTTCCAAAGACTCTGGCTCTACCGGCAACTGTTGTACGCGGAACTTTAATTTAACGACATTAAGATTGATTTCTTGTATGCGTCTGTCTGTACCAGGGTCGCAAACATTTTATTACCACTGTGCACTTTTGATCTCCTAACGAAGGAGAATATTGCATGTAAATTCAAATTAATTGAAACTTCAAGTTCATTGAGGATAATGTTCGAGGTATTTAATTACCCAGCGAGGCGTGTACTAAATATGTTCGCAGAAAGGTGAAGAAATAACTTATAGGCGTTCGTTAAAGGAAAATATTGCGGTGTCACTTGCAATCTTCATTAGTAAAGAAAAATGCGTAATCGCGTCCAGCCATATTACATCACTGAAGCCCTTGTTTCTGTTCCCTGTTAATCACTGTCGCCATGTTTTAGAATTCTTATTTTGTAGTGCACTCCGAATGAAATATTCGATGCTTGTAAAATATCATCAAAGAACCTAGATTTTAAAATTCGTAAATAAACTTTACACCGTCATTTTTTTAGGCCAGTCATCTACCTTAGAGTGCAATAATTTAAAGTATATATTGTATTTTGTCATTAATTTAGTCTAAATTGTAACAATTTTAATGGGAGGCTCTAGAGGCCAAAATAAGACGAAAATAAAGAATATCAATTTCTTGACTGAAGCCTCGTTGAAAAGTTATTGAAAAATTAAATTAAAGAATTTCAAATCGTTCTGAAAAATTATTTTTATTTGCAGAGGTTAATTACAATCATTTTTGGTCAATACACATACCCTCGAAACCCTACGCAGTTTCGAGAAAAAAAATCCTTACCGAAAATGTAATGTTTGACTATCCATTGGCATGTTCCCCTGAAATTTTTCGGTGAAAAAAATTGTTTCAAATCGTTCTGAAAAAATTATTATCAGTTGCAGGGGTCAATTATGATCATGTTTGGTCAATACACATACCCTCGAATTCTCACGCAGTTTCGAGAAAAAAATCCTTACCGAAAATGTAATGTTTGACCATACATTGACATGTTCCCCTGAAACTTTTCGATGAAAAAAAATTTTATTAAATCATTTTGAAAAAATTATTTTCCGTTGCAGGGGTTAATTACAATCAGTTTTGGTCAATACGCATACCATCGAAATCCTATTCACTTTCGAGAAAAAAATTCAAGAAGATACTGAAATTTTTAGACGAAATTGAAAAATTTCAAATCATACTAAAAAAATTATATTTGGTTACAGGGGTTAATTGCAAGCATTTTTTGTGAATAGACATATCCCAAAATCCTACGCACTTTCGAGATAAAAAATTCTTTCAGAAATGCTTCCCTGAAATTACATGCGAATCTTCAAAATGTCATAACTCCCGAACGGATTGGAGGATTCTAATTTTTCAAAATGCAAACAACGCGTATTTCAGTGGAGAATATGTAGAAACTCTAACAATATTGAAAAAGCTGTTCCTTAACCCCTTAAAGTGAGAAAAACCCCATAAAAAGGGTCCAATTTCCAAACGACCATAACTCCTACAATAGTAAAAGTATCTCATTGAAATTTTTTTCTGAAGCAAAGCCCGTAGGTACCTACAAAAAAGTATTACACAACTATTCTGTAGAGCGTCAAACAAATTTATTAAAAATGAAAAACAAATTTCTAAGAAAAATCGACAGGGGGGTGGGAATATTCGAAGATTATTGTACTAAAATCGTGTTAAGCTTCACTGTAAAGTAAAACGATAAAAATCTAAGGTGTCAGATTCGTTAAGAAAGCCCCATATCCTTCGTATAATTCTCGAGAAGCTCGTTTGACGTGTCGTAAGATCCCGAAAGTTTCGAACCAGATATCAACGTCCCTGGCAACGTTACGAAGGTGTCGTCCGCGATGTAACAACGTGGGAAAAGATCATCGAAGACGCTGCAAAGCCTTTTAGACTCGACGCTGTCAAATTACGGAGACCCGACCTAAATTCACGGGGGGGGGGAGGGGGGGGGGTGTTGGACGTTTTTCGGCGAAATTGTATGTTATAAAAAGCCCGCATATACCGTTCACTTTTAAGTGCCGCGCCCTGTACGTGACACTCGGTACGAAGTTGAAAGGCAAAGTGGCGAACTAAAGCGTCAAAGTTCTCATCGATGACCTGGTTCAGAATGTTTTTAATGAAAGTGTCCCGTTGATTGGAAAGTTACTTTGATCTATTGTGAACGATCGCGGGAGGGTGCTCGTTCGTTACGCATCGAATTAACGCCTTCTTTTTCTAAACGAAATTCTTGCTTTGATGGTAATATCGTTTGGAGGGGTATCATCTCGCGATCCACGAAGAAAGTTCAAGTTCCGGAAGACGTTGCGTAGATTGCGGGCAAACTTGGACGGAATTGCTGGCCATTAATGCGAAATTGCGCCTTGTGCAACTTTCCGAGCGTAATCGCTTTCAGTCTACTCCAATATAGCGTTCACTTCTCGAAAATCGATTCCAGTTATTGTCGTGGACTCTAAAATTTTACAAACATAATAAAACGTGCTGAATCTAGCGATTTGTTGGTGGAAAAAGGACCCCTCACAGATCTTATGGAAAGTACCGCTATTGAGTTTTAAGGGGTCAAATAAATGGACGTGGTAGTCTAAAATAAGGCACACTATTATTGACTTTTGATCACCCGGTATCTCGGAAACTGTTCAATTTACGAGCTTGGGCCCATTTTGAACTTTTCATCAAGACATCATGAACTACATCGTATCGAAAGTTCAGCTAATTTAACCGGGGACCATTTTCCATAAGATCTGTGCGGGGGTCCTTTATTAATTGACATTGATATCAACCTTTGTTTGGTAAACGAAAGTACGCACATTCCGTTGGCCAACTCGAGTTGTTTCCGGTTCTTTATGAAGCACTATGCCCACGTGCTATGTACTGTGTTCCCTTTCCTTGTGCTCTAACTATTTCTAATTATTAATCTTTATAATAAACAGTTTATTCAAATGTTATAATGATCAGTTCATTTAAAATGAGATACGGAATGTTTAAGGGGCCTTTCTACCTTGTGGGATTTAAAAAATCGAATTTTTTTTGCGTTTTCTTTTAGTATGTAGCCTCGAAAATATATCTACGAAATATTAATTTGAAATTTGAAAAACTAGCGAAGTTATAGCCTTTTGAAATGTACCACGCGCAGGTATAACAACTGGACGTGAAAAGCCGTTTTTCTCGAAACTACATTTTTCAGCACTGCGTATGTGATAACGAAAAAACTATTCAAGATATCAGCATGAAATTTATACAGTATCTTTAGAACTGGCCTCCCTATAGCGTGAACAAGGATAATTGCGATGTATGCAATACTTTTTCTTTTATTAACAAAAAAGTAACCGAATATATGAAAATATTCAGTATTTTCTCGTAAAATGCCATTTTTTGTTTTTTTGAGAAGATCCTAGTTCATGCTGTAACCACACTCATCTACATTGATAATATCGTTGGTTTTTGGATTTCGGATAACTTGTTCGCAAGATATCACATACGCAGTCGGGCGCCGTTCGTAAAAACTGTTGTTCGTTGATCAACAAAAACAGCGTAATCGATAGATATTATGCGTTGCAAAAATTCGTAAATATAGCTAAATATATAATAAATGTATCTACAAAACACGGAATTAATCGCTCTTTAATAGCCCGCAAAAAAAATCACAAAGAAACATGTATTTTTCGAGCCTACAAGGTAGAGAATGGCCCCTTAACGTTATAATGTAAATTTAAGTAAGTAGTGTTCAAGGAACAGTGTTTCAGAAACCCAATTTTTGAAATATTGGATGAAAAAGGAGTTTGACCGAGAATCGTTTACTTATTTGTTACGAGCGAGAGATCCTGGATTCGGTTGAGAGCAGTACTCGATCGGTGGTTTTAGGTCTGGGTTAGGATAGAGAAAGGAGTTCTGGACGAACCAGGGGTTCTATACCCTGGGGGCCACGGAGTTAGACTTATAAGGAAAATGTATGGTGTCACGGACGAACCAGGGGCTCTATACCCTGGGAGTCGCTAGAAGGAGTGGACCAACCAGAGGCTCAATACTCTGGGAGCCACGGGGTTAGATCTATAAGGAAAATGTATGATTTCACGGACGAACCAGGGCCTCTATACCC